TACCTCTAAGCAGTGTTTTATTTCTCTTTGTTTATTTTACACTGATTACATAATCTTTTTTCTTTTCTCAACCTATCATGGTTGTTTTCTTTAATTCTTCCTAATTATCTTTAGCCCAGCAGAATTAATTAACTCCTATGGGTCTGAGATCTTATGGTTAGGTCAGATTTCCAATTCCAGTTTGTCGGGGTATCATTTTTTCAGAACTAAATTTCGGGTAGGTATGCAACCTCAGCACGTGTTTTATAATTTTGAGTTTGTTTCCTCTCCGCTTCTTCCACCTGGAGTGACATGATCTTTTGTCTCTAGTTCTGTCGAAGATGACTCGGATACAAAGAGGCTTCCCAAGGAAGAAAAGGGTAGGTCCCTGAGCGGCACCGGTCCCTCGGCGCACGTCGGGCAGGCCTGGATTCTAGTTTGCTGCACCCTGCGTCTCTGACCCGGGTTCCCTGGGTCTCTCATGAGCTTTGTCTCCACCGCTCTGCCTTAGCCCGGTGGGTTCTGGACTGTGAGGACAGATGTGTCCCCAGGATTGAGTGTGTTGCTTGTATGCAGATACGTGCTGTTCAGAGAGTTTAACTTTCCTATCATACGACCGTACGTTAAAATTACTAATGAAGGAGGCAGCAGGTGGTGTGATGGTCACGTCGCTGGGTTCCCACTTTATCAACCTCAGTTCGAGTCCCTGATCCAGAGACTTAAAACTCATGCCGGCCTCATGTGCGTGTGTGCCCAAGGTCCTGAGAGGAGCATGGAAGAGAGAGGATTGTGGGCCATCCCCCCTGGGGGGTGAGTTCTCAGGTTGTCTGTCCAGTGAGCACACACTCTAAGATTAAAAAAAAAAAAAAAATACCAGTGAGAAATAACTTTACCGGCCTAGATTCCTAAGTGAGCATTCTAAAAGGAATGAAAATAGTGGGCAGGTGCAAAAAGCTTATGCTGTAAGAAAGGAAAGAATAGCGCAGTCAAAGGGGACACTGGCTGTGTTGTGTTGAAAAGCCCCCTGGAGCATTGGCGCAGGTGGCTGGCTGCTCCCTGTGAGTAGGCCTCCCGCGGCCCTCCCAGCCCTGCCTCACCTGGCATCGCTGCGTCTGTGCCTTGAGCTCGGTGGCCAGGCTTCAGCCGTCTGGGGACGGGTGGGCACCACATCTGCTTTTGAACAAGTTTCTGTAAGACCCGAGATCTTGCGAATGTTGTGTTTTTAACCACAAGTTTTTCTTAAAATAGGTCGTAGCAGTTGTGGTCGAAATTTCTGGGTCAGTGGCCTTTCCTCTACAACCAGAGCTACAGACTTGAAGAACCTTTTCAGCAAGTACGGGAAGGTAGGAGCCAGGGGTCTTCTGGAGGACGGGGTTCCTTGAGGTGGCATGCAGCCTTCATGCCAGGGCAGCGTCCTCACCTAGGGCTGTGAGCCACACTAGCAGCTTACAGTCACTGTGTTCCTCACTGCCTCTGCAACTCCTACGAGCTTATCCCTGGCTGAGTCCCTCTTGTGTCCATGGGGCTTCACCCTGGGGACCAGGGTGGGGCAGGGGACACACGGCCCTCAGGTCAGGGCTGTTAAGTCCGACCAGCTGTGTGCCATGTGTCCCCTCTCTGAACGTCGTCTCTATGACTGCAGGCCATCCTCCCTGGGAGGGTGCAGGGATTTGGGCTGGGTCGGCAGGAGGGTCAGCTGGGTCAGCAACGATGTCACCCCTCTGCCGTCTCAGCGGGCCTTCTCCATGAGCCACGCTGCTGTGCACATGTGGACTGGTGGGGACCAGTGTCTGCTGTCGTGTCCAAGCGTGTCTTGTGCTTCTTCCAGGTGGTGGGCGCCAAGGTGGTGACGAACGCCCGGAGCCCTGGCGCTCGCTGTTACGGCTTTGTCACCATGTCCACGGCAGAGGAGGCCACCAGGTGCATTAACCACCTGCACAAGACGGAGCTCCACGGGAAGATGATCTCAGTGGAGAAGGTGAGTGGCCCTCCTCTTCCTGGGCGCCGGGTCCGGGAGCTACAGCCGGGTTACCGAGAACTACCGGATCCTCTGCAGGCCAAGAATGAGCCCGCTGGGAAGAAAACTTCTGATAAGCGAGATGGTGACGGGAAGAAGGAGAAGTCGAGCACCGGTGACAGGTGCGTCTCGTCCTGGGACGGGGTGGTGGTGGTGGCCCAGCAGGTGCTCTGTAGCCCAGGGAGCCTGCTGGCAGCGGCTGGGGCCGCCCCCCGGCCCCGCGGGGGGCCCCGC